ATAAATATAACAATTTTTTAAGATTAGAAGTATTTTCTTTAAAGGAAGAAACAAAGCAAGAAAAGTCAATGCCCCTCACTACCTTAATGCCACACTGCAAGGAGATCCTGTCCTACTTAATGACAGAGAAGGAGGAAAAGAAGGAGGGGAAGGAGACATCAAATGATAGCTCACAGAGAACCTGATGGCTACTAGAACCTGTGGGCATGTACAACTCAGCATGTGTGGAGGTCAGAGGACAACTTGCCATGGTCACCTCTCTGACTCACCATGTGGGTTTCAAGGATCAAACTCAGGTCGTCAGGCTAGGTTATAAGTGCCATTTCACCAGGCTCCTGAACCTGGCCTCAAACTTACAGCAGCCTTCCTCAGTCTTTTGAGTGTTGAGATCATAGGTACGACCACCGTGTCAGACAAAGGAAACGTTAGTATTTCTAACTTCGGGCTGGTGTTCATAGGGCTTAACAGATACACTTTAGCAGATCGAAAGATTGTGTTCTGTTTCCACCTAAATCTCTCAGCATACATTCATTCCTTGCACACAGTGATGGGTGTCATAAAGACATCTTCATCCAGATGCATCATCTACTCTGACCATAACCCCACATATCCGCCCTCTCTCCCTTCACCCTCTGCCACTAGCTTCCTCCCCAGATAGTCATTTCTGCTTTCATGCCCATTGACATAGGTAGATAGATAGTCCATGTATTATATATGCATATATAATAAATTCCATTTATTAAAGTGAACATGTAACAATTAAAATAATAATAATTCTTAGATCCTGTCTCATAAAAGCCAAAATTAATCATAATAATAATACTTTTTTCATTTTAATTTTTTAGAATTACTCATTTTAGCATGGGTGCTTTGCCTGCACATATGCCTGTTCACCACAATTTACAGTGCCTGAGGAGGCCAGGAGAGAGCACTGGAACCCCTCGGAGCTAGAATCCCAGATCATGTGGGTGCTGGGACTCAAACCCAGTCCTCTGGAAGAGCAGCCAGCACCTTTTTAGCTACTAACCCACCTCTCCAATCCCAATAGTAACAATTCTTATGAGCCATCAAGAGAGCTCACAGGATGTTTTTCAAGACAAGGTCTCATGCTGCAACCTAGGCTGTCCTCAAGCAATCCCCTGTCTCTGCTTGCTGGGCTTGATAGGATGGCACATGTGGTTTCCGTGAGCTACCCTGGCAGTATAACAAGCCCCGCAGTAAGCGTAGCTACCCTGGCAGTATAACAAGCAGACATCCATACCCAACTCAACCTCCGGAACCTGAGTGTGGTCATTATAAAACCATCTACCAACAGTAAGAAAACTAAGGTAAACACAGAGTGGCAAGACTAAATGATCTTTTTAAACAACATATAGTCAGGCAATATGGAGCACGCCTTTAATCCCAGGACTAGGGAGGCAGAGGTAGGCAGATCTCTGTGGTTTGCTTGTTTGTTTTCTTGTTAGTTTCTTGAGACGGGGTCTCACTGTGTATCCCTTGCTGCCCTGTGACTTGATATATACCCAAGTTGGACTCATATTCAAAGTTCCTCCAAGCCAGCTAACGTTAAATAGTAAGACTTGGTGTGTGTGTGTGTGTGTGTGTCTTCCCCTAAGAATACGCTTGAGACAACCCAGAACCAAATTACCTGAGCACTTACTGAGCAATAGGAGTAGCAGAGGTACTGGGTCTATAAAATTAACTTTGTTGAGTGTTGATATACAGAGAACTAAACATGTTCTAAGACTAAACAGTTCCACAGGAACTTATCCCTACACTGAAGAAAGCGACCCACTGCAGGTAGTCTAGCCTTTGGGAAGTTGCTGAGACAGTTACACTGTTCTGGGGGAGAATGTCAACCTGTGGTCCCCCTTCCTTCCCTGATGAGTCCCCATTAGGAGCACCAGGCAGCCATGACTGACAATCAGCTGATTCACAAATGAATCTCTACCTAAATTCTGTAGATGGCGAACACCCCTAATCTAATAGCGTGGCAGTGAAGATGACCGCTTACGTTGGCTCCGACCTACTGTCCAAGGTCAACAGTATGTCTGTTTTAACTAGAATAGCATTCCTTACGAGAAGTTAGGAGGAAGGAGACCTAAAATATCAAACTGCATCAGCATCATTATGTGAAAATGCCATGAGACTCGCTGCTTTGTATATCAGCTTAGAAAACTAACGACAAGTTCTGGAGGTGGCCAGGCACAAAGACCTGTTTCCGTTCCTAGCATCGAATGAAACTGCAAACAGTGTTGCATGGTTGGAATCCTAGAACTTGGGAGGTGGAGACAGGAGGCTGGGATAGGCAAGAGCATCCTCAGCTACACAGCAAGTTAAAGACTGTTTGGACCACATGAGATCCTGTCTCCCAAAAAAGGGTCTTTTTCTTTTTAATTAAAAAAATGAAAAGAAAGTAGACTTCTTTTGAAGACAAACTTCCCCAATTATCAAGAAACTCACCTCTAACACTAGATGTGGAAGCTCACATCAGTAATTCAAAACATGAACTTGGGGGGCCAAGACCGTTTAAAGTCAGCTCAGATGGTAGACTGACTCATATACTGAGTTCTGAGTTCCAGGTTAACTTGGGTCATAGAGTGTGTGTGTACGTGTGTGTGTGTGTGTATGTGTGCATGTGTAGTGGGGTTGGGTGTATGTATGTGCTGTGTATATACATGGTGTGGTGTGTGTGGTATTGTGCTGTGTGTATGTGCGCACACGTGTATTTTGTTTGGGTTTCATGTGGGGAGAGAGAGAGAGAGAGAGAGAGAGAGAGAGAGAGAGAGAGAACATCTGTAGAGTTTCTCTCTGTTCTAGATGGAAAACTCGGGGCCCTGTCAAACAAACTCATAGTCAGAACCTGACCTGGCAATCATCTATCAAATATAGTAATTTGCCAGCTGAGAATGGCTAAGTGGTAACTCCCTCCTTGCCGGATCTTTAGCTGCCCAGAAAAGATTAAAGCAAAAAGGTAGTAATAAGCACCGAGAAGCAATGTGTGTGACTCCCCTTATCTCGTTCTCCAAATGGCACTTCTACCCAGGAAACCAGCTCAATCATTTCAGGAGCCCGGGCTTGGAAGGATCATTTGCTGCAGTGTGAGCGTGCTAGAATGTCTAACCAGAGGGAGGAACAAACTCAGAGCACAGTGTGACCACACTGTGTAACAGTGATAAGAAGAACAGACAAGGGTTTGCTGGCAAGGTGGCACACACCTCTCTTAGGTCAGTGTTTGGGAGCCTGAGGCAGCAGGATCCAGAGTTCGAGGCCAGACTGAGCAACATAGTGAGATGCCATCTTGGAAAAAACAATAGAGAGAGCGGCAGACTGGAGATAAAGAATCTAACATAGCCTCAAGGACTCAGCAAAGAAATAGCCACAAAGAAAAAGTCCAGAGGAAAGCATTAGCAGGCAGCCATAGGGGTAGAGATAGACATCTAGGAGTCACTCCTTTACTAAGAGACAGAGCCAAATCCTACAGGAGGACAAAAAGTACAGGCCAGGAAAAAAAAAAAACCCACACAGTACAGTTGTAGGTGGTAATAAAGAAGCAGGAGAAACAAAGACATCGGACTCTAACAACCATACCGTTCACTTAATCACACCAAACACACAGGGCAGCTAATAAACAGGCACCCTGCTAGGGGCACTGTGTACCCACCTATTTTCACTTTTAAAAAGAACTATGTGGGGCGGTGGTGGTTCACATCCTCTAATCCCAGCATTTGGGAGACCAGAGGCAGGGGGAGTTCTGTGAGTTCGAGGCCAGCCCTGTCTACAGGACAGCCAGGGCTGTTACATAGAGAAACCCTGTCTCAAAACAAAACAAAACAAAACAAAACAAAAACCAGAACTTGGTAGCCTGAGGTAAGTGGATTGCCAAGAATTTCAAAGCCAAGAATTTCAAAGGGTGGTGGTGACGAATACCTTTAATCCCAGCACTCAGGAGGCACAGGCAGGCAGATCTCTGTTCTCTGTGAGTTCGAGGCCAGCCTGCCTAAGAGCTAGTTCCAGGACAGGCTCCAAAGCTACAGAGAAACCTTGTCTCAAAAAAAGCAAAATAATAATAATAATAATAATAATAAATAAAAAATTCAAAGCCAGCTAGAGCTCCAAGAGTGCTAGCCTGTCTCAAATCAAACAGACGGATGAAAATGGTGTGCAAATAGGTGTTGGTACTCCTATTTGGTAGGTGAGTGCAATAAAATACTGGAGTCAGATGACCTTGTTAGATCTGATACTGGGAAACAGAGTTGAGAGTTTCGCACCAAATCTAGGCAAATCTGTACAGTCTGCAGGGCCCCTCTCCATTAAGACTACTGTCTGTCGCGCTGAATTCAAACAAACCTTGGAACGCTGAGTCTCCTGGAACTTGCCTCCCTACGTGGAGAGGCCTCCTGAATTTTACTAAAGACTTGTATAAACTTAAGCTGAAGTTGCCCCTCCAACCCCCACTCAGTCACACCTGACATCCTTAGGGGAATCTGGAAACACACCCTAGGCCAAGCTGAGGTCCAAGAACCTTTCTGATGGTATGCCAGTGTCCCTGGTTAGCTAAAAATCCCCGTGACTCCACTAAAATAAAATCAGATTCTTTTTCTGCCACCCAGCCACTGGTGTCTTATCTTGGGCATGAAGTGAAACATGATCTCGGTAGACACAAAAGGACCTCTGAAACCTGGGGCTGTAAAAACTCAAAACGAAGTGACTGTGCTTGCAGGGCACGCACAGCGGGCAATGAATCTGCTGATACAGGAAAGGGATGTCATAGAGTTCATCTAGTGAGTGAAACTAGTGATGATGGAGCCCAGGGGCAAGGGTTCCTCTGAGGTGGGTCGCTGTCTTTCTCGCTAAGGCAGACCAGGTCCCCACTCCATCTCTATCCCCCCCAACGCCCCAACCCGACCCTTTGCTCAAAAGGCTCCCACCGTTCTAAGCTAAGGCTCACTAAGTTCTCAGAGCGGTTGGGGCTCCGCATCCTTCCCCACAGCGCTCACCTCCAAGGTTTTCACCAGAATCTTCATGTAGACCTCCGAGATGCCTAGAGATAATCCGAAGACCGAGGGCAACAGGATGAGGCCGACTACCAGCGTCAGCCAGGTGGACAGGAGCTTCACCGCCAGGTCTGTGCCCTCCATGTCTCGGCACGCCCTCTGGGAGACGTCGCCAGGAGTTCCGAGCGCAGTAGATAGATACCCGAGTCCTGGGCAGCTCAGCGCAGCTCGGAAAATACAGCGTCCGATCCGGAGCTGGGCTCCGGGGAGTCAGAGCCGCCCGCCTCACTCCCTTGAGCTCTGCGGAGCCAAGGGGAAAGGGAGAACTCTCAGAACTACGGCGATCTCCTTCCTTCCTCGTTTGGAGTCCCCGCTGTCCCAAGGGCTAACTCTCCACTAGAGGCCCAGGCCAAGCTGCGGCCACACCGCGGAGGGAGCAGATCTGAGTGTCGGGCGAGAAGACCCAGCTGGCGGCGATCTAGGGGACACCCTGGTTGGTGCGGTCAGAGCTCACGAAGGCAGCCAGGAACGTGCCCCACCCCGGGCCTGATTTCCTCCGGGGAGCGATTGCGACAACCCCGCGGTGACTCACCGAGGCCCTGGGGCAGTGAGGATCCCTGCAGGTTCCCTGTGTCTTGGCGTGGGCAGCGGGCTATGCGGGTAGCAAGCCACTGGCTTGCTTTCGGGTGCCGGGAGCCCCTTTTACTGCACTCTGTCCTTGCCCCACCCACCTCGCCACCCAACGGGGAGCTCCCTGGCACGACTGAGTCCCGGGTGCACGCAGCCTTGTGAGCCGCTGCCTTCCGTCCCGCCTCTCCCCCGCCCCCGTGCACTGCACTCCCAGCAAAGGTCCTTTCGGGAGCAGACTTTCCATCTTCACCCACAGAATCTGAGGTCTCCCGGACACTGCGGAAAACCTTGTTTTGTGAACGTGCAAAACGACCTCGTGGGGAAAGCTTTCCGGAGGAAACAGCAGAGCAAGGGTGAGCAGTCACACACCGCCGCTCCTGGCTCCCCCACGCCTCCTTTCTTACCCAGCCAGCCGCAAGGCTGAAGCCTACCGGGCTGGAAAGGAGAAAGCGCGTTCGCTCCCCACAGGCCTCCTTAATCACTCTGCCCACACCTCTCTGGCACGGAAGAGATCCAGAAGACCGGAGTGGCAGTGTCGCAGGACTGTAATTCCAGCACTTACACTCAAGAATCTGAGACTGAAGAGGAGACGGTACTGGGCTGTACGGCGTACCAATAGTCAGCCTAGGGCTAAATAGCCAGATCCATTATAGACTCTCTTTTAAAGGGCGAGCAGGGAGGGGACTGTTTGTCACTCCTCCTCCCGGAGGAGATTCCAGTCTAAGCTTCCCTTAGTACACCCACACTCAGCACAGACTGCAGAAAAAGCTTCTCAAATGCTAACCTTCACCCAACCCGCACGAGTTTCCCGGGGATCCACGTCCCACGCCGCTGTGGTGCTAGCCCTTCCTAGAACAAAGAACAAAAAAGCCTGCACGTGTATTCCGCTGCAGCACAAACAGTTTTAAGATTAAGCCTGAGAAGGGACGATGAGAGCAGTAGGGTCCAGACCATCACTGAATCGGCTCTAAATCCTTGGTAGACCAAACTAGCTTTACAGTTGACCGTCGGGAACTGTTTTTGGAGCTGAAAAAAGTAGGGTAACCCGCAAACTGAACAGAACCTGTTAATTTAAGCAAACATTGCAGAGAAAGCTACCCCCACCCCACCCCAGGGGGCGTGAAGGAAGTAGGAATCTCCTCTGCACCTCCAACCAGTTGCCCACACTCTTCCCACTAGAAGTTGTGAAGGGAAAGATATCAGGAACTTACTCTCAAAATGGGGCCAGTGAGATGGCTCACCAACAAAGGTGCCTTGCTGCCAAACACAGTGACCTGTCAGTCTTTGAACCCCCATGGTGCAAACACAGAACCAATTTATCCCCTGACCACAGGTGCTCAGCAACATCACACACACACACACACACACACACACACACACACACACACACACACGATAAAATAAAACATCACTTAAAAATTTTACCAGGCAACCGGGCAGTGGTGGTGCACAACTTTAATCCCAGCACTCAGGAGGCAGAGGCAGGTGGATCTCTGTGAATTCGAGGCCAGCCTGGTCTACAAGAGCTAATTCCAGGACAGGCTCCAAAGCCACAAAGAAACCCTGTCTCAAAAACACAAAAAGAAACGTCTCTGTGCAGAAATAAACATTTCTGGAAGCTGGCCAACATATATCTTTGTATACATGTGTGGTTTATATATTTAGCTCACAATCTAAGATTTACTAGCTCATTTAATACTATCCAGGAAAAAATATTTAGCCTCCTTTATTTCTCCAATCAAATGCTGAATGATTGCTCCATAATCCACCCTGTAGAGGAAACATCCAGGTAGCCCTTGTTTCTGTTTAAACACACTGGTACTGAGTGTACACACGCTCCAGTATGTTTGGTTGTTCATAAATAACCGAACTTGTGAACTGGCTTTGTTTTGGGGTTTTGTTTAGGAATGGCTCTGTAAACAAAGCTATATCGGGAAGTCAGAAAACTGCTAGAAGGGCAGTGTTCCTTCTCACCTGAAGACTGGGGAACCAGCACAGCCCCCAAAAGACACCTGCACCCCTAGGCAACCTTAGAAAAGGAGAGGCTCCAGGCTTGCCTTCCCTCCCAGGAAGCTCCTTCCCTTCCTGCAGGCAGGACTCCTCTGCAGTACCAAACAGCACAGAGTTTTCACCTTAATGGAAGCCAGAAATCTGCAATCAAGGCGTCTGTAGTGTAGGTCAGGCTCCCCTCTAAGCCCTCAGGGAGGATCTTTTCCCTCTTGATGCACCTGTTCCAGAAGCTTTGGGTTTGTGTAACCCCCATTTCCTCCCCAGTATTGATTTGATCTTCCTAGGCAAAAACCCTACCACTGAGCTACATCCTCAGCCTTTCTCTTCTCCTATGAAGACATTTAATCCTGGCTTTAGGGCCTACACTAATCTAGAAAGAATTTATCTAAAAACCCACCATTCTTTAGGCCTGCACGATGGTGCACGCCTTTAATCCCAGTACTCAAGAAACCCGGGCAGGTGGATCTCTTTGAGCTCAAAGCCAGCCAGGGCTACACAGTAAGATCTTGACTCAACAAACAAACAAACAATATTGATTACAATCAATCAGACTGTGACAGAGAAATTATAGGGACACAAGAAGAGAGAGGGACCTTTTGTACCCAAGTCTAATTGAAGTCTTTAGAACTCTGGCACAATTAGCATTTCATTTTACTTTCTTCCTCCTCCCTCCTCCCATCCCTCCCTCCCTATCTTTCTTAGAGGGGGTCTCACTACATAGTTCAGGCTAGCCTGGAACTTGCTCTGTAGAGTAGGCTGTCCTTGAACCCACAGAGATCCACCTGCCTTTGTCTCCTGACTGCTGGGATTTGATCCTCAACATGTGGGTCTTGCTCACTTTAGGGATTGCCTAAAACATGGGAATACACAAATATTTACATTATAATTAATCACAGTAGCAAAATTATAGTTATAAAGTAGCAATGAAAATAATGTTATTGTTGGTCTCAACATAACAAGAGGAACTGTATTAGATTCACTGCACTAGGAAGGCTGGGAACCACTGACATAGGTCAACACACCCAGTCCACGGTTAACACTTTATTTTTTTTTCTTTTAGTTTTAAGACAAAGTCCATGCTTCTAAATAAAGCTATGTACTATTTTTTTTTTTTTAAGATAAAATTTAGGGGCTGGAGAGATGGTTCAGGGATTAAGAATGCTGCCTGATCTTCCAGAGGTCCTAAAACCCAGCAACCACATAGTGGCTCACAACCATCTATAATGAGATCTGGTGCCCTCTTCTGGCCTGCAGGCAGAACACCGTATATGTGATATATAAATATTAAAAAAAAAAAAGATAAAATTCTGTTAATAGTAAATGCTCAGTATAAAAATTGTCCAGACCCTGGTATTGGGGGGGGGCACTGTGTTTGTATATGTGTGTGTGTATGTGTGTGTGTGTGTATGTGTGTGTGTGTGTGTGTGTGTGTGTATGAGAGAGAGAGAGAGAGAGTGTGTGTGTGTTAATGTAACTTTTTTTTTTTTGGAGACAGAGTCTCACGTAGCCCAGGCTGCCCTCAAACTCATTCCTCTGTAGCTAAGGATGACCTTTCAGCGTCTTGTGTTTCTCCCTCCTGAGTGTTGGGATGACACATATACACACACCATCTGTCCCAAGCATGTGAAGCTGAGTAGTCAAACCAGGGTTTCATGCATTCTAGGCAAACATTCTCCCTGCTAAGCTACATTCCCCAGAATCCTTTTTCACTCTCAAAATGTTTGCATTTTGGTGATTAAATCAATGTTCCCCTTATGCTTTCATAATTTCTAACTGTTATTCCATTGGGACACTTTAAGAACTAACCACGCCCACCCCAGCCACTTCTGACCCCACCTCCCCCCCCCCCCGCCGCTATCTTTTCTCTCTCGTGTGTGTGTGTGTGTGTGTGTGTGTGTGTGTGTGTGTATGTGTGTGTGCGCGCGCGTGTGTTTGTTTCGTGTCGTATGTACGTGTGTCTTTGTTCTCTCTATGTTTGTCTACGTCTCCCTTTCTTTAAGTAACAAATATCTAGCTTTATGTATAGCCTTATGTCCATTTACTCTGCCGTCCACCGCATCCAGCCGCCTGACTCTGCCGCTCGCCCGGGGACCCTGACTCCCCCAGCCACATGGCGCTGCCACCCTGGAGATCTTGCGGGGACCCACAGCCACTAGCAGCTGCTCCGCGAGCTGCCCGGGATATCCCATCATCATATTATTTTTAAAAAAGAACAATACTAACAACCTTTGCAATCCTAAAATATTAGATTATCAGATACAACCGACTGTGAAACCTAATCCATTCATTACTCTTCTTCCCTTAACCATTGGCATGGGTGTTTGGAGAACTTTGTCAACACCTGAGCGCTGTGGGACAATGCTCTTATACTCCGTAAAGATTGTCACTCGTATTGGTTTAATAAAACACTGATTGGCCAGTAACCAAGCAGGAAGTATAGGCGGGGTGACCAGACTAGGAGAATTCTGGGAAGAGGAAAGGCTCAGTCTGCAATTGCTACAGACACAGAAGAAGTAAGATGAGAATGCCTTACTTAATAAGTTACTAAGTCACTTGGTAAACATAGATGAGAATTATGGGTAAGTGTTAAAAGTTAGTTAATAATAAGCTTGAGCTAATAGGCCAACCAGTTTATAATTGATATAAGCCTCTGTGTTTTTTGTTGGAACTGAACAGCTGCAGGACCAGGCAAGACAGAAATTTCCATCTGCATCTAAGGCTGAATGAAACGGTATAGGAGGTTTAAAGAAAAGGCATCTCTTTGGCATTTGGATGCACTCAAGGAACAGACTTGTGTTTTACAGAAATTTGTCAGGTGTGGTTCTTTTGGGCTAGACCATGATGCTTCAGGGTGAGGGAGGCTTTCCACCTCAAGTCACCTAAACTGCATAACCCTTCACAATGAGGTCCAGAGGACCATCTCCTATGTGATCCTAGAGTCTGTCAAGTTGACCATCAATATTAATCATGGTAACTCAATGTAACACCCAAACATATCACTGGTAAGCCATCATCTTCCACCTCTTATTACCACAGGCTCATGACATCATGACATAATGCAAAGAATAGTCATTCCAACTTCAAAAGTCCCCATAGTCCATAACAGTTCCAAAACTGTGCAAAAGCTTAAATGTAATCTTTTCAGAGACCCAAGCACTGTCTTCACTGTGAGCTCTTTTCTTTTCTTTTCTTTTCTTTTTTTAGGTTTCTCTGTAGCTTTGGTGCCTGTCCTGGAACTAGCTCTTGTAGACCAGGCTGGCCTCGAACTCACAGAGACCTGTCTGCCTCTGCCTCCCAAGGGCTGGGATTAAAGGCATGCACCACCACCACCTGGCTCTTTACTTTTAAACCCATCAGATCTGTCCTCTCCAGAAGCTAACAAAACTTTGGTTGGGATTTACATAAACTCAGAGAAAACTAGTGAATTGCTTTTAGCCACCTGAATAAATTAGCAAAGATAAACTGCCTCCCTGGCAGACACAGACAAGCACTCAGAAGTCCCCAGATCCTCTGCGTGTTTTCTGCTTTGTTTTCTTACCAATGCAGTAACCTGCAAATAGTACACACTATA